CAATCACTGTTTATGAGAAATATCTTTGATCCAGAAACACAAAACTTTGCACATAGTTTCTTATGGGTGTATTTGATACATTAAAACAACAAAAGTTTTATAAAGAGCTATAGTTTAGTTAAAATTAGGTCAACAATTTTGAGTAAATTCTTAACTTAAGTCTGAGAATGCTTTGTGAACTCGGGGCTTGGGCTATTGGCACGACTATCACTTACTAAGATACAGAAGGTGAGTTTTGTAAATGTACCGGAAGTTAATATAGGATATTTAGAGTTGGGGCGGGGGGTCATCGTCACAGTTTTTAACAAATCTTTATTATTCAATATGCAATTTGTTATATAGCAGGAATTTAAATTAGAATTATATTTAAAACAGCAATGGAATTCTTGGAAGTTATTTATATACTTTGAAAACCCACTATATAAAGGTACATTCATCAGTATGGTACATCCTTTTAGAGAACAGAAAAATAATCAGGTTCGTATTTTTCTGAAATAATCCTGTAAACGGAACAAACGCAACCTAACCGCGAACATGCAAATTTAATTTAAAAGGTTGGTTGCCAGGGAACGAAACATACGCCCACAGCAGTGAAGAGTTCTCGCATATATTTTTTTTTATTTTTGTCAGTAATGAAACATAGTAGACTAAAATCTGACTAAGAGTAACAACAGACGGATGGACGAGGGCGAGGACAAGATACGACCACTTTTCAATGTGGGCGTATAATAAAATTGTTTGAAATTGTGACTTTTTCGATGATAACTGTTCTAGAATTGATCCGAAAATAATATGTTTCAAGTTTCTAAAAATCACCAATATAGACGAGGTTGTTCCGTTTGATTTCGTCTGCAAAATACAGTTTGGGATATTCTACTCGGGTAGAGAGCTCCGTTTCGTAAACTACAGGTAACCCCGCCCATGAAAATGTCCCTCCCGACATCCTGTACTTCATGTTTGTAACTATGCTCCGCCCCTGGTCGCCTTGTTATATGCAAATCATGCCAAAGAGAAAGGAAGCCTGAATGGATATAAAACTTTTCGTAGTAGGTGAAAATGGATATACAGCCTAAAAATAAAAATGCCGGACGGGATATACTCTCTTTAAACTTTCGCTGTGATTGGTAAGAACATATAGGTATTGACGCGGTATAACCTACTACATATCTCAATTAACACTCAAGAAGGGAAATTTCAGTGTTATCAATATCAGTGCAAAGTTCCAAATCAAGAAATTCTAAGTATTTGCTGAGGCACTGTTCTTCAGCATCACGATTAGAAAATGGGTCAAAAAGGGTTGTCAACTCCAGAAGATCATCATCTGATAGGGGATTTCTGATATCTGGAACATTAACAATAGTTAAGAATGTGTTGTCCACATCACTTCCAGCTTGAATCTCCCGTTCCTCTCCCACAGCATCACGACATTGACAAATATATCTCTAATTGCTGTATGTGTTAATCAATGTAGTTCCATTGACCGAGAGGCAAATAACTGTGGTGATTATGCTGCCTGATGAATGTATCCAATGATTTCTGAATCCGTGGATGATATACATAGTGAAGAGCGAAGATCTGTTCTTCACCGTTAGGGTTCAGAACTAAATCCCTGTCAAACGCAGGGAAGATATCGTAAAACACATTTACGGTGTTATTCCACTCCTCTAGCCATAACCTTTCAATGTGCTGATTGTGAAAGCCTCGCCCACGAATGGCCAAGCTGGGAGCCATAAGGCTAAGCGGTTAAGGCTAGGGTGTTCGATCCCTGCATTACCCAACATTTCCGACGTGCCCCCCCCCCCCTTGTCTGCGGTACAAGACAAAGGGCCTGGCTTGGTACAACGTATAGTCGTTCAAATGGGACGACAAACTGAGTCCCCGTGTACACATTGGCGTACAAATAAAAGGGCTTTGGCAGTTGGAATTCGAAATGAACTTAGTAAGTATATTCCTAAATGGTACATGGTGTATGAATCTGACCTGCCCTACTTGATTCACATGCACGAACAGCTGCTGCTATGACACACATCGGTGAACTGATACTGTGAAACTGCTCTTGGACCAGAGAGGAATTGAACCTTCTCTTGTCAGGCAAAGGTCGCGGCGTAATTGCTCGAGACGATGAAGCAAACGTTCGGTAATTTCTGCACTGTATTCTCCAACCGTGAATGCTCTGCAACAGTCATTTATTTATTTCCATCCGAAAATCATCAATAAATTGTCGTAAATCAGTTAAACGTGCCATTTCGTTAGGATTTCGTGTCGCCCGCGTCGTTTTCCGTTGTTATTGTCATTCGCATATGGCCGTGGGATATTGAAAGGACGGCTTTCATCGGTTGGTTTAGTATAGATATTAATTCCTACCTAGTGATTTGTAGGGTTAATACACATATTAAATCGATTTAATATGATTTAATATACATATTAAAAACGGTTCTCCCATTGGTTGATTTAATACAGATATTATTTCCTAGCTAGTATTTGGTGGACTTATTAAAAGTTCCTGGTGAAGACATCATTTAGACCACCAGGCAGATTCTAAGACGGAAAAGGTAGTTAATTCTATCAGTATACTCGCACGAGCGATTTTTGATGGGAGAGACCGTCGCGGTTCAAGGAACACCGCCTGGATTGGGATACCTTGTTAAGTCGTAGGAGAGCCATTTGATGTTGTGGGTGTCCGTCAGTAAACTCGTTCAACGAAATGTTGAGGTTGAGAAAGTAGAGAATGACTTTATTTGTAACCGTTGTTTGCAACCTATGTGTCCAGTGCTTGACATAAAATGTAGAAACGAACTGTGGTATTGTTATTCCTGTGCATAACCTTAAACCGGATAATTGGAGCAAGATGCAAATTCACAACGTGGGCTGCCAGAGTGACATTTAGAGAAACGCTTTAAGGGCCGTCCGAGATAAAGATATATACACAATGTTTAAAGTGGAGTCCTAGAATAAAGAATTACAAAAACAACCAGAGACAATACTAGACGATCACAGGGCTATTCACTGAGTTACCGGCCCTTGCCGGGAAGTTTCCCAACTGTTGCTTTGTCTGAAACCCTTGAGGTGTCGAGAGAGAGAGAGAAATGGGGTTTAACGTCCACTCGACACAAACTAGGTCATTTCGGGACTAAAACATGGTTGAATTTTATTTCAATAATTCGCTTGCGCGTAGGAGTCTTTAGCAGTGGAAGGAAACCGGAGGACCCGGAGAAAACCCACGAGGTTTAACAGGCGACCCTACTCCTTGTCACGTTCAACCGGGGATTCGAAACCACGCCAGGAGGTGTCAAGTCAAGTGCACGATCTGTTAAAATGTCGCAAATAACGTAGAACGGGAAAGTAAACCCTTTGCAAATTAATTTCTGAGGGCGTTTATGGGAAATGGTTTACCCCGAAGAAATTGACCAATATTGTACCTTGGGTAAATATCGAAACTTTAAATGTAATACATGTAGATTTAAAACAGTTTGCGACTGACATAAACTTTGATAATAAAAAGGCCAGAGAAAATCTTGGATATAGAAGCTAGAATGGAGGATTATTTGGCATTAGTTCGCGCGGCTATTTAAAATGTTAAGCGCCCCATACACGATCAATTATATTGCGCAATTTAATTGTCAATACCCTGAATTGACAATTAAATTGACCGTGTATGGGTGATATTGATGACTTGCGCAATTGTATTGAGTGAATCAAACTCTGCTTGATATTTTATTGCGCAAGTCTATTTGATTGCACAATGAATTGATCGTGTGTGGTAATCGTCAATTAAATTGTGCAATAAACGCTCCGTAGGAGAGATGGGCTGACGCATATTTGTAGTTTGCTTTCCAATCAGGGGCTCGACCATTTGCAAAAGCTCATTGTAGGACTCAACATCCATGCGCAGAAAGTTTTTAAAATCACTTGGCTCATTCTGGCTCAGTTCACGTAGTAATTTGGTGTGTCCAAACGTTGAACGCTGCAGAAACCATTCTTTTGACCATTTTGCACGTTTCCTTCTTGGAACATCGGTTTCCTCTTCAAAATCCCCCATCCTTTCTCAACAGATAGCAAGACGAAAATGAGTCTAGTTTGCGCAATTAAAGTGCCAATTATATTGAGCTGTGTGTGGTCAGCAAAAAATTGTCAATTATATTGTGCAACCAGGCTTGAGGAATATAATTGATCGTGTATGGGGCGCTTTAGGCATGAAAGTATCTGAATCTGACTCAAGAAGGTATGGTAATAGCACATTATGTATATCGAATGTTGGTATTTGAAGTAAGACGTTGATATGGGTCACGCACGTGCATGCGTCACGCGTGACTTGTGTTTAGCTGTGGTTGATTGATTAGCCGTGTTAAAGCTTGTTGTTCCGTGAACACAAAAAAGAGTTATTTTAGTTTATTTCTACTGTGTCGGCAAGAAGTAAAGCGAATGTTTTCTTTATTAATTTTGGGTGAACCCGTTTAGCCTTAAGCTTGTTGTTCCGCAATCTAACATGGGACATACACTCAGATTGTTTTAATTTATTTATACTGTGTCGGCAAGTAGTAAAATGAATATTGTTCTTTGGTAATTTTAGGTGAGATATATTCAGCCTTGTTATTCCGCAATCTAACTTGGAACATTTTTTTAGTATATTTAAGAGGACTTACCTGTGCGCTAGCAAAGTTAAGGGGCTTACCTGTGTGGAAGAAAATTGAACGTGACTTACCTGTGTGAAAGCAAATATGGAGGGCTTACTTCATCCTCGTTATCTCCCGTGGTCTCATTCCGTTCAACTCCACTAACCCCTGGGTTAATCTATAAGGGGGCACGCTCTCAAGTTATAAGTTATCCGCCCTTGATGATTGTGCTATTTTTATCGACCAATGCCATAAATCGTTAATTGAAAAGAAAGTTTGCAAAGGGAAGTAACTCCCATCGGTAAAGTAAGCAAAACGTAAAGGCTCCCCGTCAAGAGACGTGGTTAGGAATTAGCCAGAAGGTAGCATAAAGTAGAGAAGTCAAAATTATACCATATGCGTATTTATTAACAACAAATTACAAATATTATATTAATGAAGACCGGCCATTTATATATATGTAGGTTCAAGAGTTTTATTGAGGGTCAAATTGCCAAATATAAGTTCAATAATAATAAACATAACAGAATGAAACATTTCAGACAAAGAAAGAGTAATAATAATAATAACAAAAGTCAAACATATAAATGTCGTATTTGAAATCAGCGAAACATACTACAGATGGTGATAATACATTTAAATATAAATGAATTAGAAATCTATACATATTCACATAAATCTTTCAGTAAATGGACATGAATGTGGTTATCTACCCTTATAAAAACGAACGCAAAATGACTGGTTTGTAAACTGTTTTTTGATTGGGTCGTAGACTTTAGCTACAATCAAGGCCAGGGCAGATAATTTGAAATCAATTTGTAAGCAAATAAGCCATTCTTTTTATAATACATTTACTTAGAAAATAGTTTTACAACAATGATCAATGTTACTTCATTTAAGCTCTTGCAATTATCAGAAAAACAACACATGCAAGTAAGGTCCTCTTGGAGAATTGTAGGTAATCTGCACGATTCGTAGGTTTGCGATCGTATTTTAAATGCGCCAATCCATTGCCGTCGGCTCTGGTTACTAAGGCTCCCACATTACCGTTAACAGCAACCCATATTTGAACTTCCTCATTAGCTGCACCATTGATTTCTAAATCTATTGTTTCAGTAACTGAAATTTGTGTAACTCTTTGGTATGGCATATGGATCCATTTGTCCAATTCACCGAGAATCAGAACTTCTTGACCTCTGAAATATATACAACGATTACAGATATATTATGTAAGATTTAGATAAATGTCTGACCGCCGTCGCTATAGTAGTTTAAAGTAAATAAAAATAAAATAAATATCTTGACAATTTGGGTCAAATATATATTATAATGTTTGAATTTCAGTCAAATATATATATATATAAATAATGTTTGAGGTTTTGACAAGAATAGCCTAGTCTCGATTGTCATTGCTACGATAATAAACAAAGCCACGATTTTAACGTTAACCGATTAAATGGCGCGTGTGGTCTAACTCACTTAATATCCAAGCCATTCCAGGTTCATCAGATGACTTCACTCTTTGTCACATTAACCCCAACATATCTTAGAAGAGAGAGAGAGAGAGAGAGAGAGAGGGAGTTTTCTATGACGTCATTTCTGTTTCCTTAGAGATTATTTTAAATGTTTTATTTCTTACCTTGAAGAAGAAGAGGGTACCTTTTCGAAACGTTGGTCTAATAATATCTGACTATGAAAACAGTGTTAGTGTCTCGTTTGTGTATCTACTTAAATATTAATCTAGTGAAGAACACTTCCGTTTAGGATTCCTCGATCCACTGTTTTCATATACCTGTTGAACGCCGATTCTACACAAGTTTTGCATAATATTATATCTTAGAAGAAACTTACCCAAACTCAATAATAGGTGTTGTAAAATACAAACAAAAGTTGGCTAAAGGACAATTTTGTAAAGTAAACTTGTTGTCTTTAGAAAAGTCAAAGAACTGGTCTGGTTGATTCCATCTGTATATTTTACTCTTTGGAAACTGAAAAAAAATACACTGCTTAGAACTGTTTAATTATAAAAAGTTAATAATGTAAACTGGTACAGAAGAAATGGAAATAATCCGTTTAGCATTAATAGGGTGTCATAGCAAATGGGGGATCACGGTGTTATAGCAAATGAAATGGAAGTTTGACGTCTTACTTTTCTGCCAATGAAAACGGGCATATGCCATATAATATGATTGCTGTTTTTAGGTACACACTCACGATTGTCTTTCGTACCATCCGAACGACTAAACACCCTTCCGTATCAGGGACACTAGGGACCGGGCCTCGTGGCTAGCAAGTGAGCGCTATACCGATCTCCCTTGAGCCATGACACTAATGCCATCCGTACTGGGAATTATCCCAACCCTTTAAAAGACTGATTTAATACAAATATAATACAATCATCCGTACATCACTTTGAGGTCTTGACACATCAAAATTTAAGTGGGTATTTTCTGGTGTAATGTCGAAGGGCTTTGTGAGCCCAGCAGCAAAAATAACACCATAAGTAGCATTGCTTGATTTAGACGTTCCTACAACTGGTATAGTAGTATACGTAGACCATACTTCACCATCAGGACCGCTGCCATCTTGAAAAGCCGACTGAAATAAAATAAATAATTTCATTTCATAATTTCATTTCATTTTGAACACACCTCTTATGTTTATTAACAAACGGACAATTCGAACACACACTTATGTTTATCAACAATTACGGGACAAGATTTAAGTCTTAGAATATAGATTGGAATATAATTTACAGATTTCAAGTTGCACGTTATAGGTTAATAATCTTACACTGTTCTAGTTAAATGGATCTATATTCTATTAATTGCCATATAAGCGAATATTTTAACTGCGATGATGACTAAAAACTTAATATATAATATTTGCGATGGTATAATTGACATTTATAGTTATCTAACATATAAAGTTTTAACTAATTATATAAGATCTAATAATATAGCCTTAGCAATTAACTAACATTTACCTGATATATTCAAAAGGTATTAGTGAAAGATTTTGCCTAGCAGATTAGGTAGATATTATTTAAAGGTACATTATGTAAGATTTAGATAGCGGTTCTGACCATTCTTACTATAATAGTTCTAAAATAGAGAATGCAAAATGTATATATTGAAAAGTTCATTCAAATTGCTCTATTGAGAGTGAAGATATTAGCTTTTGAAGGTTTGACACGATGTGTGCATTAATTGCAACCACCGTACTGGTTGTTCGAAGCTTATCCTCGCTTCACCATTTTTAATTAAATTAAAATATGGCTGCACCGTTTTAATCTAATTAATATCGGAGATATCCTATGGAATCTTAAGAGATTATGGTCTTGTCGTGTGAATAAAAATGTCTAATTAATAGTTTATATAACACTTCAGCCTAAAGAAAGACCTGCAATTAGCTCTTGCATAATGCATGTTTAAACGTCTGTACTGTCATGTAGATATTAGTTAAGCGTTTGCAGGTAGATATTAGTTAACAGTTTACAGTACCAACTCGGGTACATATTAGTTAAATTAAGTCTGGACTTGCAACTCAGGTTGATATTAGATAAAAGTTTGGACTAGCGTCTGAGGTATAGATATTAGTTAATGCTTGGACTACCATCTCAGGTATATATTAGTTAAAAGTTTTGACTAGAATCAAAGGTAAATATTACTTATTAATTTATAAAAACAAAACAATCTTTTAGTTTCCAATATAAGGTGATAAAAGATAAACAATGGGTATTATTCAAGAATATTTCATATACAGGAGCTGAAACTGTCAGATTTTCGAAATTAATATTAATATTCAACAATTAGTCTGATAAAAAAAAATGATTTATACTAATTATTCTGGATTGCACAGACTTATTGCCGCTATAACTAATATTGTAACATTCCCGCCGGAACTTTTTAAACAATATTTACCCGAGATGTGGCCTAAGCCAATTGTTACCTGCAGAATCTGAGAATCTATGGCTTTAGCTGGACGCATTGGTTGTAATAATTTACCATCAGTAGAACAGCATCTACAAAGGATAATATATATTTAATAAATAAATTGCATTACATATTAGGATAATAAATATATAACATATAAACTAAATTATATGGGATAATAAATATATAATGCATCAATTACATAGGATAATACTAACTATCAATTACATAGGTTAATAAATATTTAATAAATATATCAATTACATATGATGATAAATAACAGGATAATAAATATATAATACATAAAAAGATGTCATAGGATAATGAATATATAACTAAATTATATAAGATAATAGATATATAACACACACATTATATGGGATAATAAATATATATAATACATAAATAAGATTTCATAGGATAATGAATATATAACTAAATTATATGAGATAATAGATTTAGAACACACACATTATATGGGATAATAAATATATAATACATAAATAAGATTTCATAGGATAATGAATATATAACTAAATTATATAAGATAATAGATATATAACACACACATTATATGGGATAATAAATATATATAATACATAAATAAGATTTCATAGGATAATGAATATATAACTAAATTATATGAGATAATAGATTTAGAACACACACATTATATGGGATAATAAATATATAATACATAAATAAGATTTTATAGGATAATGAATATATAACTAAATTATATGGGATAATAGATGTATAACACACAAATGATATGGGATAATAAATATATATAATACATATAAGATTTCATAGGATAATGAATATATAATGTATACAGTATTTGAGATGATAAATGTCTAATATATCAGTTACATAGGATAATGTATATAATAAATTTATAATACATAATACATTAGCATTAATAGTATTGTAGTTATCAATCTGTTTATGTACACTGCACGAAATGGCAGATCTATTTGATAAGGTCAACTTCAAGTTTGGTCAAAGGTCACGAGATGTAAACAGGGCTAGCGCTAATCCCAGCCCTAACCCTAACCTTGGACCTAGCCCCAATGCTTACCCTAACCTACAATCTCGCCAACAATCACGTGCCCTAACCATATTTAAATCTCAGCAACCTTGACGAAAATTGAGCTGGCCTTAACAAATAGATTCGGCCGTTTCTGCAACAGCCTGACAGCGCTCAGCAGCCTACTCAGGGATCTTAAACCTACTGTCGAGGGTTTTTCGTTCGACTAGAAGCGTTTCCGACCATCCCGATAAAGTGATATTGAAAAAATAATATAATCAGGTCTTAAATTCTGATAAAAACCTTACTTTTTTATAATTGAACTGTCCTCAAAGCCTAATCTATCACCGATGCCCACAGGTCCTTTAGATAGAAGAGCAACAACCATCTCTAATTCTGGATACGGCTCTACATAATCTACAAGGAAACAATGTAAGCTATTAACATAGATTACAAATAGATATACATCATGCTAAAAAAAAAACCAAACCGCAATTACATTGACTTTTTCATAAGCTACAAGTTTGTTACAGTACACATATATATATGAAATTGGGACAAAACACAATATCCTAAATAGCATTTAAAGATGGGTTCCCAGAAAAGTATTTATCGGGTGGTTATGTCCAATAAAAGTATGGTAATTTTGGTATATATGGAAAGTAGAGATATCCAATCGTACTAGAAAAAATACTGGATTCCCCGAAAAACACTCTTGGAGCGTATACAGGACAAAAATGTAAGGGTTCCCCTAATCAACAGCCCGACGATTAGGAATTTCTGCAGGCGTGATGTCAAAGGTCACACGCGAACATTGAGCGCTTGATGTACAAGTTGATAAACTTAGACGTACAACACTCTCTGAGATAACAATGCCGGAAAAAGACGCGGGTAGTGGATAATCCGAGAATTTAATTAGGATTCGATATTTGTAATAAATAGTAAGCGATTAAAGACAACATCGTCTTATGTATGCAATGAATTCTCTTCTGACTTCCAAGAAAGGTAAGTCACGTGACGTAAACATGACCTGGTTTGATCTAATTTTTATAGGACATTCCTTCGCAATTACAATGTTTGAGAAGGATTTGAAGCAAAGTTATGACAAATTAATTAGTTAGTTTGAATATGTGTTTAGTCCATATATATCATTAAATCATCCAGTTTGTACGCTGGAACCCATCATTAAATTGTACTGAATTAAATTGGGGTTTCACGTCGTACTTTCTTTTGTTGAGCATGTGTACTAGGAGTGAACTGTTGTGAAGTCAGCTAAGTTTGTTGAATTCCAAAGGGTTCTTTTACGTGTAAAGAGGAATGCAGTTTATCATCCCATTCGAAAGACTAAACACTGTTGCTTTTTAGGCCCTCCGTCATGCACAACGGTACCCGTTACCACCGGATCATCGAACCAGGGTGACCCCAGACGTTACCACCGGATCATCGAACCAGGGTGACCCCAGACGTTACCACCGGATCATCGAACCAGGGTGACCCCAGAGTTATGCAACAAATCTCTATATTAAAAGCAATTATAAAAAATAAAACAATATAGAACTACCAGTCCTAAAGAATATTTCGCTTAAGAGAAACACTTGCGCGCAAAAGTACTTGGGATATAATGGTTAACACACTTACCTATGTTATTACCTGATACGTTATGGCACGTTCTAAATGAGTCTTTATTTGGGACCAAATTTAATGCATCTGCAAAAATTGAAGAAATTCCAATTTTCCATTGATCTTTATTTTTTTCCCCGTAATCTTGACTAGCTCTAGTCTGAATCATACAAAATGAGTGAGTTTATGCATCAGTAAAGTAGATTATAAAAACCAAGGTCCCGTGTACATGTTAGCGTGCACCTAGAAGCAGTGGCGGATTAAGCTCCACCAAGGCCTGAGGCGGCAGTTGCTGGAGGGCCTATTTAGTTTTTAAAGTTAGAGCCAAGGTGGTTGCTAACATTAAAAACGGGATTCGTTACTGAGGTTATAATATTTTTAAAATATTAGTTATAACTATTGAAATTTGTCGTACAAAATGCTTTAACAGCAGAAACGTCACCGGAAACCAACTGTACATACACCTATTTTCAAGGATAATATTTCCTCAAGATGGGGTGTTTACATCGAAACTAGCTTAAGATCTTTTGCTAGATATTTTTTCTTAAGCCAAAGTCGTTTGATATTGGTAATGTAAAATTATATGCCCATAAATGACGTCACGTGGATACAATATATTAAGCAAGACATAACCGAAAACTTACAAGGATTTAACGTACATTGTAGGCCTACGTTTAAAAAATAAGATCAGATCTCCAAACAATAGGGCCTATTTAAAATGGCGTGGGCCTAATTAATTTCGGGTGAAGGTCTATGTTGATTCCCGTTGGGCCTAAACCCCACCCCCCTGACATTGATTGTCTATGCGTTTTAATCAGACAAGTCTAAAAAAATTTTTTTTACAAAATCTTTGGGCCTGAGGCTGCAGCCTCATCAGCCTCACTGATAATCCGCTACTGCCTAGAAGACCCCTTGACTGTTGGAAAACGTCTTTTTTCCTGCAAAATTTGGCGTATACCCGTGCAGAAAAGTAGGACGTTACATCCCATATCAGTTCCTTTCATAGCCTTATAATACGCCTTCACATGCTTAATTCCTGTCATCCATCATTACATGCGTAATTCCTTTCAATGTATCAGTACATACTAAATTCCTTGACATGCTTAATTCCTTGTAATACATCAATACATGCTAAATTCTTTATATTACATGAGTACATGCTTAAACATGCCAGTATACGCTTCATTCCTTGCCACGTAATACATCATTATAAGGTTAATTCCTTGCAATACAGTACATACTTAAAACATTGTAATACATCATCAAATACCAGTTTTAGACTTGTATTTACCATATTCTGAAGCAATGGCCCGGGAAATCCCTCTCTGATACTTGAACTTTTGAGGGAGAGTGTCTATTCTTCCCGTTCAATCAAATCTATCCCACGTACAGCAACATGACAGCCCTTCGTTTAATCTGGGGGTCTTCCTTAAAACTTTGGACAGTGATTTAACGGTGAAAGTATTGTTCGTCTCCAAACAGTATTGTTCACATTGTATTCGTTTTGATAGCCTCGTTTTTTGTCACGCAATTAGGTTTTTTTTTGCAATATTCTGCTATGCACTGGTTAATTAAATGTAATAAATTCGTGAGTCATGACGTAACGTTATGTAAACGTATTTGTTAAAATTTGGAGCTCTATTTAAAGCCTAATAATATTGTTACGGAGTCATAATTTGGAACAGAAATTTGCTTCCATTACAGCAGTGTTAAGTGGGGTTAGGTATAATCAAACGAAGCACTTTATAGGAAGTAACATGGTATATTTTAGTATACATGTACCTGTGTGACAGCTGGCAATAATAACGATTGAAAAAGATGTCTAGGATAAGCATCAGAATACAGAATACTAATATTATTTTTAACGGCAGCATTGTTCATTTGATGTAACCATGTTGAAGCCGCGGTAAAATCCTCTTTTGTAACCGGCATATTCATAAACGTTTCGTCCAGTCCATCCTGAAAAATCCCAATCAAACCTAAATGATTATTTTCTTACAGGTGAACTTAAAGGGCCAATAACACTCTTGCTGGCTTGACAGCTCCAGAAAATAAAAAAATAGCCTTATTCTAAGTACTAGATGTGTTACTGTCCTACCTGTTGTGTAAATTATCCATTAAATCCTATTTTACTTGTCCAAAGGGTTCAAAAATATTTTTAAATCCAAGTCACATTTGAAAAGCTTTACGTCAGGCTTTTCAAATCATTTATTTGAATTTTTCCAATTTTTTAAATTAGGTGTGTTAAGATGAAATTTGTATCATCAATTAATTGGAATATTGTAAAATAGTACAATTTGTTGACCAGAACAAAGATTGGGACATATTATTCAGTTACAACAAGAGTGGTATTCGGCCTTTAAAATCTTTTCGTTAAAACTCGATTAACTCGTAGCCAGGCTCGTGTTTATGGGCCTTGAAATTGAATGGTATTAAACAAAAACCCAAAAACGTAAAACGACCACAATTTGCATAGTCAACAATTAGTATGATTTAAAAACGAATAATGACAACCGAATATTTTGGTCAACATAACCCTATTGTTAGCGTTTATTCTGGCATCCTATTAGGCTTTAGCTATTCTGAAATGTGCGACATATCCTCCACAAGGTCCCCACAATGAGAGGGGGGCATATGCCCGGAGGCGACACTTCTTGGGGACGGCAAATTATCTAAATGCATACCAAAATTCCCGTTTGAATATTTATGGACTAGCCTCCTTGGAAGCTGAGATAGCAAATCATCGATCTTCGCTTCCCCTAAACCTGTATAAACCAGTTCATATTTCAGAAAATAGAGAGTGTAGAAATATGATTTTGCCAAGATATAGAGTTTTTCGATCTTGGAGGGAAATTAACATAAAAATAAACATAATGGTCATTTAGATAGTGTTAAAGTATAAAAAAAATTATTGTGTTTTAAAATTTCTTCAATCATAAAAAGTCAACTGAGTGCTGGAACTGAAACGTCACTGAAACTTTTGTCCTGGGGCACAGCATATACTTTAAGGGTCCTGGTTCTACAGGGGGTGCCATTTGTTCTTGTCGATAGGAGTATGTTATATTGAATGGCGTTATAACATCTTTATAACCAATGACGTCGTAAAAAGGGCATTACCTGCTCATAAGTTGTTATGCCCCACTGAACAGCAGTTTTAAATAAATCATTCCAAAATTCCTGGAAAATGACATACAAGCTGCATTAATATATATTCTACAGCCAAGGTTTACTTAACAAGCGGTTATACATTACACAGCGAAAGGACAAAATCGAACCCTGTAATAATATTTGATAATTTATGCGAAATTGCAGTAGGCGAATATAAGTGCACCAGAGGACATCATTTATAATTTGATAAATACATATGTTTTATTTGTCTTCTCCATTGTCAAAATATTATAATAGATATGGTATGAGTTTATTTGAAACGCAAATTAATAAGTTTATGAAAAATTGTGAGAATAACAGGGCATGTGGTTTAATGCCAAGGATAATTGAAAGCTGAAAGTCAGGGGTAGAAAACCATCAGAGCTCTGGGTGATCGTTAGACATAATGTAAATTTTGAGAGGGCAAATACCATGTAGAAATTCGTTGGAAGAGACTGTTGAGGTTCAGGAGGCACCATCCGGATTCAGAATGGCCCGTTAAGTCGTAGGAGGGCCATATGATGTAAACTCTTTCTGTGAAATGATGGGGTTGAGAGAGTAGTTTATTTAACGTCCGCTTCCACTGAGGTAATATCGCAGAGTATAGAATGTCTTAATTTTTAATCCGGGCTTGTAACCTATGTATCCAGTGCTTGACATAAAAATATAGAAACGAACTGTGACATTGTTATTTCTGTGTGTAACCATATTCGGAGTAAAATGTGAAAGTCACAACGACATTTAAAGAGACGTCCTAGCCATAAAGTAAAGGATTACAAAAATAACCAGAGAAAAAAACCTAGACGATCAGAAGGCTATTAAAATTAGAAGAGAGTATGCGTCACACAGTGCTTTCCGCATCTAGCCAGCGACTCAAACACTACATCGTATGATATATTTGATTTGGTCGTCGAACTGCACAGTGCTACAGCCCATTTATAGTAATTCGCTTCCTAAGTAGGAATATATGGAAATAATGAGTAGCCCAATAGCATAATCTTCCAGATTATATTAATATAAGTTTACATCGATATCCTTATCTTACAATCTGTTTCAAGGGATCATCCAGCTTCTTTCCATTGCCGACGACCTCTGTGCGCACTCTCTACCTCTATCTCTCTCTCGTTAACTCTTGAAGACATTAATCGGGTTCATTCGTTCAGTCTTATGACTATTCAAACAATACAAACAAATTTAAAGTTAATATTTTGACGATATTTTACTTGTTGCAGACAATTGTGACAAAGGAATTTTGAATTTTTCGGTTGGTGCAAAAATAGTAAGACGTTAAACACCATTTCACCAAAACTAATTTAACCCCTATTTATTTATCTTATTTCGTTTTTGTGCTTTTGTAATTATACCTGATCAAAGGGGAGAGCTGTATCACCCTCTATAATGAAACCATAACTTCCACCATTCTTCTCGGCATAAACATTATCACCAGACCTATAACAGCGGTGGCAATTATTCTACACAAATTAGAAGATAAAGACCTGATGCGCCATTTGGTGCTATAAGAATAACAAACTGCAATATTGTAAAAGTAGGAATATCAGTCCAAAATGGTTCAATTCCGTTCAATATTTACAGAGCTATGATGAATTGAAATCTCGTCGACTTATACTTATTATATGATATTTTAGCGAAACTGCAAATAGCGTACCCGGGCCTTAAAGTGGCGGGGGGTTGGATGGCCGAATGGTTAGCGTGCGCGCGCTGTATCATAAAGTCTGTCATTGAGTCGACTGGCGTGGTTTCGAATCCCCGGTTGTACGTGGCAAGGAGTAGGGTCGCCTGTCCAACCTCGTGGGTTTTCCCCGGGTCCTCCGGTTTCCTCCCACTGCTAAAGACCCCTACGCGCAAGTGAATTATGTAAATAAAATTAAAACCATATGTTAGTCCCGAAATGACCTAGTTTGTGTCGAGTGGACGTTAAACCCCATTTCTCTCTCTCTCCCTTAAAGTGGCAATAACCTGGTGACACTCGCAATAACTCTCAAATAACACCACCGACTCTCATTAATCCTTCTTTAATTATATTTATTGCTATATATGCGTATGTGACATTATCCTGTGTTTCGGTACCAAAAACAAACTAGATGTGATAATGCTGGTCACGGATCTCCCCAAAACGGTCTGTGACGCTATTCTACGTCTCGGTAGGACTTTCACGTTGTGTCCTTTTTTTACTCAATGATCAATTAACTCTGGAACACATTGCTGGTATAACTATGGTTATATATCTCTAAAACCTCCATAATACAAAGGTTATATACAGAAAACTACACACCCATCCATAAAATTAAATGTAACCAAAATATAAGTTCCCTGTTTTATGGTGTTACGCTCTTCCTTCTAGGTCTACATGGCGATCTCCCTCGGTCTTTACGCCGAGGAGACTAAAGGGATATACCTCTAGGAACACTGTATGCTGTCTCTATCCCGGCTTCTAGGCCGATGCGAATATACGTCCCTAGCCTCTAAGCCGAGTAGGTTGTATGTATGCCTTCTAAAAAGTTCCCGTGACGCCTAACGCAAATTTGATGGTGCTGTTTATATTTGTATCAAACGTCGGCTATTAGGGTGGGGCAATTGCCATTTTTAGATAAGTGTTTCGTTTGAGAACCAGTTTTCATAAACATTGTTTATTTAATTGGACTAATGTGTGCACGAGATGACTGGACCACAGTAACATACTCCCAGAAATTGATGGTGGCAGGAACTGTCAGTGAGTTAGTCTAAGACAATTGGATCTTGCAAAATACCTACCTAACCCAGTTCTCGTTGTCACTTTGTTTAACCAGTTCAATATATTAAACAGAGCACCTTTCATAGCACTAAAATAACCTCTATAGTATTACAATTATAAATTTAGAAATGATCTCGGTTTAAGCTCCATTACACGAAACACTTTCAATAACATCCTTTGTTTATACTTGGATGACGTCGTTAAATATATGCAAACCCTATTTTGGTAGTAAACTAATGTAAAACATGTACGGTTTCAAACATTTATTTGGGAGTATGCGGAGCGTTTTCGAATACAGCATGTTGTAAATAGTCATAATAAGCTATTGCTACTTTAATGAAGTCAGGTTTTTTTTACTTATTATAAAGGAGGGTTCGTTATTTGCTGTGTCGACCGTGGTAAACCCTGTATATCTCAACCCTGGCTTTGTCTATAGACGTAAACGCTTCAACAAAGTCGGATTGTCATCCCTCTTAAAAGGGCAATATACGTAATCTAATGAAATCAACAATTTTAGTTTTGTCCATCATCAAAGGAGTCAATCTATTTTAATTCAATATTGAACTCACCATACTCCACTATACATCATGAACTTTGAATTTGTAGCTTTTTCTAACCCTCTGTAAAATAAACCAATTACTTAAATCACGGTATTTGAAATCGGAATGCTTACATTGCTTAATTCTTTATCTTGTAGTGGTGCCATGTTGTCAAATTCTTACTTTTACCGTATATAAGATTAAAAAATAATTATAACTTTAAATTAAAAGGTTAATGGAAGATTTAAAATCTGTGAAAGGTAAAAGAAATTGTGATATGGAAACATCTAAAGCAGACTTGGCAGCTAAGTCTGCTTGGTCATTCTCTTTAATATTAACATGATTGTGGGGTCAGCAAAGGACAATGTTCTTGCTGTTAAACTCGTGTGATAGTAGCAGAAGATAAATGTCTGCTACTAACGGGTGTACAAGCTGTTTATTGTTTATTGCTTGTAAAGAGGACAAAGAAACAGTAAATGTGATGTGTTTTAAAGATGAAGAGGATTTAATGAACTCCAAAGCCTGAAAGATGACTTGGAGTTCAGCAGTAAATATGAAAGCAGCAGGATAAAGACGAACAGAAATGGTCTCAATGGCGTGACAGTAGCCGAGGCTACCTGATCACCATCTTTGGAACCATCTGTATAAATTGGAGCATAATCACCATATTTAGACCTTAACTCATACGAAGAGAGACTGAAACACCGTGGAACTAGTATCTTGTTTGTTTGTTTTGTAAGATCTAGATCGATCTTGGGAGGAGATATAGACCATAATGGTGTCTCAAAGAAAGGGGTATTCGCAATACTGTCATGATTGATACCAGTCTGAGACAAAAAGGGTTGAATGCGAATACCGAATGATGGAATAACGTTAGTTTTCAGTAAATATGGATGGATGTTCATGATAAGGTCTAAATATGGTGTTAAATGAAACATGATGAGGCATAGTTGCAATATTTGTAGCATACTGCAGTGTCAGTTTATCACCTCTGTCGAGGAATGAGTGCTCGTGTGCCTCGATGTACAAACCCTGCACCGGAGATGCACGGAACGCTCCCAAACCGATTCCAAGTCCCCTTCTGCGCACGGCGAGGAAGGAAGAATTATACTGATAAACTATTGAGGATTTTCTCTAAGTTCCTTTTATTGAGCTTCCATGTGGAAAAACAAATCGAGGACAACAACCAAGCGAGTTAGCGTCATTTGTTGAGGCAAGTGCAATGGTGTTAGTTTTCCAATCTCCTACTTGCCAAAATGTTTAAAAAAATCTTACTTCATTCCTTGAGGTAGTGCTGTGGGCTCCGCTTTCCAATCTTTTATTTTACTGCCATTTTTTATACACCACCAGGAATCAAGCTGAAAATATCTGAAATATGATAGACATATTCAAAACACAACATATCTGGAATATACTAGAAATATTGAGAATATAAAATATATGGAATATGATAGAAATATTGAAACCGTGATAGAAATATTCAAAATACACAATATCTGGAACATAACAGAAATATTGAATACGTAAAAATTATGGACTATGGTAGAAATATTGAAAACAAATATTATTTGGAATATGACAGAAATATTACAAACACAAAATATATCTATGATAGAAATATTCAAAATACACAATATCTGGAAATTAATAGAAATATTGAAAACCCAAAATATATGGAATATGATAAAAAAAAATGCGAAAAAATATTGAAAACACAAAATATCTGGAATATTCTAAACATAATTGTAATTTGATAGAAATATTGAAAACAGTGGAATATGATAGAAATATTGGAAACACAGGATAACAAGGTATTTAAAACACATGATAACGAGAGTATTTAAAACACAGGATAACGAGATAACAGGATAACAAAAATGTATCAATAAAATCATTGCTAGTTCTTAATTTACCCTATTAAAGCCAAAGCTAATGTTTTGTATTTTCGAATTGAACTCAGTTTAAGGCCGCTGGTCGTTATTTACATTTTCAGACAATATCTACTTTTTTCAACGTTTACAATGTAATGTACTCAAATTGATTATCTAATATTTAATTCAGAAAGCAGAATCACATATTAACGGTAGATAATCTACGGTCTTGGTTCTAAACAGATTGGGGGGTTGGATGGCTGAATGGTTAGCGTGCGCGCGCTGTATCATAAAGTCTGTCATTGAGTCGACTGGCGTGGTTTCGAATCCCCGGTTGTACGTGACAAGGAGTAGGGTGGCCTGTCCAACCTCGTGGGTTTTCTCCGGGTCCTCCGGTTTCCTCCCACTGCTAAAGACCCCGATGCGCAAGCGAATTATTGAAATAAAATTAAACCATATGTTAGTCCCGAAATGACCTAGTTTGTGTCGAGTGGACGTTAAACCGCATTTCTCTCTCTCTCTCTCTCTAAACAGATTAACATTGGGCCCATCGAAGGGTGTTATGGAAAATATTGAGTTACAGATTTAGCTCCTTTAATGACCGTGACATAAATAATCATAGACTATAACAGGCTTAAATGTCTATATAAAACGTTCTTATTATACAATTATAACTACCAACATTATCTTTTGTGACACAAACCAAATATACTTACGTATAGGGCACTTTGGTTACCGTCTTTGCGTGTTGTTGTATTTCAACTATTGTGTCTGCATACGTTTTATCTGGTTCTGGGGAACTTGAATAAAACGCACCTTTAATATAATTCATATGAATTTAGAGAAAGAAGTTTAACGTCTCGCCAACACATTGTTTCGGTCTATTGCCATGTTTACAATTCTAAGAAAGAGAATCTTGCCTGGACAGCGGCGGCTCAGCTGACTCTCCCTTCAACTAATTCAAACTGTCAAGATTTCGTTTACACGTACTCCGGTGGAACTCGGGTTTTCGTCTCATCCGAACGAATAGAAAACACCTTTTTTTGTCAACGCCACAGGTGCTACTCCTAATAAGTGGAAACTGGGCTTCAAACCACACACAGGGATTCAAACCGGTACACACTAGTCGAAAGTTCGGCCCTCTTGCCACTCGACTTCTGATATATTGAAAGATAATCTATGAAATAAATGCTGTTTATTCTGGATATGATATTCAAAATAATATCCCAATTAAGGAAGCATCCAAAGTCTAAGCACTAACTCAATCAGAGTAAGGTATTTTGCACTAATTTTCGTTCAACTCAAACAATTAAAGGTCAGAAATGAAACGAAATTGTAATCTAATTTTAATCAGAAATGAAATGGGGTTTATAACGTCTAAATATTCTGCACGGAAGGGGCTAGTGAAGACTTGTAGGCGTCATGCATACAGTGTGCTAGAAGGGATAACAGACCGTTTCAAAAACTAATCCATCACATCATCCAGAACGCGAGTTTTATAACATCTCTTTTAGATCCTAGTGTAGTAAAGAGAAGTAAAACGAAATTTTGAACTGTAAAAAAAACAAAACGAAATAGATATTTGTTTTAATCAGATTGGTGAAGATTGTGCAACGTTATCTAGTTAGATTAAATTGAAATGAAATGAAATGAAATGGAGTTTAACGTCCTACTGTTCTGCTCCTAACTGAGGCTAATGAAGACGGGCATACGCCATATAGTGTGCAATGAGGGAAATTTTACCCGGGCAGCGGTGCTACGGCCTACTCTTATATCGAATTCCAACTGCCAAGGGATCTTTTACGTGCACGCCAATGTGTACACGGGACCTCGGTTTTTCGTCCTATCCGAACGACTAGACAGCTGTCCTTGTCAGGCCCTCCTTCCTGTATCACTGACAAGGGGAAACCACGCCGGAAAATCGGGATGAACTTTCTCGGCCAATGCAGGGATCGAACACCCGACCTCCAGGCTAGCGAGCCAGCGTCTTACCCACTTAGCCACATGATCCCCCTAAATTGAAACTGTGGATATATCTGAAAGTGTTTGTACATACCATCATCTGTCCAATAACCAAGATATTGTGTTGTAATATCTCTATCAGCTGAATTAAGCTTACCATAATACTGACCACCGACAATTGCTCCCCACTCGCTCATTGCCTGAAATAGACAAAGAGTTTAATGTGCATCCTCAAATGATAACTATGGACTAATATTTTTTGGAATATTGTTGGGGGAAATAAAATGAACGGATCTGAGACCCTTCTGGGGGCGATTTCCTCAAAATCACTACAAAGACTAGTAATTATCTTCCCATTGATTCAATGTTCAATCTATGACTCCCTCGGGCTATAACATTTATTTGAACATCCCGATGATCTTAATCCTTATAACCACAAAGAGTCAACTATGCCACAAACGGTCAAGAAATCTACAGGCTTTGACCTGATTATCGTACACAATTTCACTAACTCTTTCCGGTTGCAAATCAAACATATGCACCAAAATCTGATAAAAAAAAATGTAAATAAAACTTCTCTTCTTTCCTTAGAGACCAAAAGGTCAAAAGATATTGCAATGCAAAAATGTTGGGAGGGGAGGAAACAAAGAGTGAATCGTTATCGTTAGTAAATCGCGTTTAATATCCTTACTTTCTATATCGTGCACGACATACGTCACCGTTTGAAGATATATGGGGTGCAACTGTATTCGTGTTGAGATACCCCAGAAGGTTATCCCTTTTTCGAATCATGAACACCAATTGTACTGATATGCGGTAACCGTGTCTAGTAGAATGCAATAGTACAAACTAATTTTATTAATTAAGTGAACTCCTAAACCGAGAAGTAGTATAATTGTATTCTAAAGGCGAGTTATACTTACAGTAATGGAAACAGTTTCTGAAATCAAATTAAATGGAATAGAGTTTAACGTCCAACGTTTCTACACAAAAAGGTGTGATATGCGGGGAATTAATACCTTGGCAGCGCCGATACGGCCTACTGTTTGAATTTCAACTTTTGCGAACGTCTCCATTGTGCACCACTGACAGGGAAATTACGTGGGAACATCCCAAGAAACGTTCCCGACACACATCGGGATAGAACTCGAGATCTCCCGGTTATTGAACCAGGGCTACACTAACTAAGCCACATTGGTCCGGAAACAGTTTCTTCTTACTTCGTTTATTCCTTTTGAACCAGGGCTATACTAACTGAGTCACCTTGGCCCAGAAACGGTTTCTACTTACTGCGTTTATTCCTGTCTTATGATTTATAAATGTCTTGTATCCGGTCTGATATTGCACATCATCCAATCCGCCCATTAACCCCCAGTAAATATAATTGTTAGTTTTATCATGCCACATGGATGTGACCATGAAACTATCAAGTGGGGTTATGAGAGTTGTCTTTCCTGTTTTGTCAAATATCGCCAATGGTCCTGAGCCTGCTAAGCCATCAGGTATTGTAGCTGTACTATCGAATCTGTAGTAAAATAAAGTATATTATAATCATTCCTTAAAATGAGTAGGTCGGTGTCTATGTTTCAACTATTATAAGAACTCAGTTGATTATTTTACAAAACTGATATTAAACTGTAGATACAAATTTACTCTTCACAAATACATTAGGGGTACCCATGTTTAAAACGAAAACGAAACATAGCCAGGATAATGATATAATAATAATATTGATAACTTGAAACTGTTGCCACCGAACCCCAATTACTATTCGACAAGCAACAAATACATATTCAAGATTAAATAAAAGTGAGTTAAGGGTATCTAAAGATTTTTACATAGTATATATTTCAGTAGCCTTCTTTCGCGAGAGAGAGAGAGAGAGAGAGAGAGAGATGGGGTTTAACGTCCACTCGACACAAACTAGGTAATTTCGGGACTAACACATGGTTCAATTGTATTTCAATAATTCGCTTGCGCGCTGGGTTCTTTAGCTGGGGGGGGGGCGGAGGACCCGGAGAAAACCCACGAAGTTGGACAGGCGACCCTACTCCTTGTCACGTACAACCGGAATATCGAAACCCCGCCAGTTGACTCAATGACAGACCGTATGATACAGCGCGTGCGTGCTAACCATTCGGCCACCCCCCGCCCCCCGCCTTCTTTCGCGTAACAGTTAATGCAGTGATATGTTTCATTTGATAAAGTAAGTGTTTAAGTTTAAACATACCGTACCACTTTCTGAAATGACATTGTGGTAAATTACTTTAAACACAACAGTCATTATATTGATAGCACATGTACATAGTTTGGCTATCTGTCATCGAATTTTGTATAATGCGTGGGCAGTTGTTGCGTCTTCAATTACATGCTTATATTTTATCAAAATGTCCGTATTTGTCCATTGGGCTGTATCATTTTTACTTCTTGTTATGCTCACCATTGCGATGATTAAGTGAGTCCCCTTTAATGTACGTAACCGTTAAACTCTCACCATTCCGAAACCTGACGCTGTTACTTGTCCATCATTCAAACATCAAACCGGCACTGATTTAGTTACATTTGTATTAGGAAATGCTTAGTTCATTACAATACGAGGGCAATTTGTATGTGATTGTATCAATTCGTTTTACTTTATACAGACGGGATGACCCCGCGCCCTGTCTCTAGTCTGTTTCCCTGATTACGTCTAAGCAGAAATGACAAGGGAAGATAACTATCACCAACGCCAATTTTCCATGTTGCGTGTAGCCATAAACATTGCTTAAGAAATATTGTTGACCAATGTCTTGTTTTGTCAGAGATGACACATTATTTTATTGAATACTTACATGCCCATTGATTTATCAGTATCGCCTGTAAAATGACCGCCAAATGCCAAGTATCCCAAATCTGGTCTTGGATCACCAATTTTAAATCCAGGAAATCCACAAATAATCAGATTATCATCTGCAGCTTTTGTTCCACCAGCGCCATCCACATAATTCTGGATATAATTTATTTTAATTTTTGTTTAATGAATGAAAATATTGGATGTTGTTGATGATAAGTAAAGTAACATATCCCACAACTGATGCATAATCAATACTGGGAACTAGCATACTCGATATTCATTACTGACTATTCTAAGCATTCCTCCAACTTTCACCAGCTCTCTGAATTAGGAAGTCTTCTGCTGGAGGGGGAGGGGGATGGCCGAACAATTAGCACGTGTGCGCTGCGCTGTATTATAAATAAGGTCTGTCATTGAGTAAACTGGCGGGGTATGGTCGCCTTTCCGACCTCGTGGGTTTTCTCCGGGTCCTCCCGTTTCCTCCCAGTGCTAAAGACTCCTATGCGCAAGCGAATTATTGAAATAAAATTGAACCATGTGTTAGTTCCGAAATGATCTAGTTTGTGTCGAGTGGACACAAACTCTCTCTCTCTCTCGCTCTCTCTCTCTCTCTCTCTCTAATATTGGAGACTCAGTTGTAAAAGTAAGACCGCCAGTTAGTAAGAAATGAAATGAAATGAAATGGGGTTTAGGTGCTGTTCCTTTAACATAAATAATTTTTTCTGGTCGTCATTTAATGGATGTTTGGTGCCTTGCAAACTACAATAATGGTACAGTTCCGTTCAGAATTCACAGATATAATGTTGAATTGAAAATTGAGCAGCTTTGGTACACACTACAGATGATATTTTGTACACGTTGAACAGTCCATATGCTGATTACACTATTTTGCCTTATTACACTATTTTGCCTATTTTGACTTCGAATTTTGTCTAATGGTTTGGATTGTTCGTACTTGGTTTTATTTTAGTTATATATATATAAACGGGATATAAATTTTCAAAACAAGCCAACTGGCCTATGAGTTTGGTTGTCCCCAATTAATTCATGCGTGGTGAATAAAACGAACTGCCACTATGGACCTTCGAGATGAGTTTTGTATTTTAATACATAAGTATAATTACCACTGAAAACGATACAGCACCCAAAGAGTAGTTTATCGCACTAGCGAGGATGGTGGTAGTACCTGCTGTATAATAGATATCCCTGGATGTCCACGGACCCAATGCACCCGCTTTTCCACTGTTGTCCGTAATATTTATAAGTTTCAAACTGCCATCAGCTGTTGAGTATGTTTTTCCACCCACTATAAAGAATGTTGGGGCTCCTTCAAGGATAATTGTGTCAACATACGATACATAATAGTTACCAACATCATCGACATGGACGTTCAGTTCGACGTTGGCCTCCACGGAACCTAATTAAAAGAGAATTATTTAAATCATTTCCTGATTATAATAATATATTTTTATTTCAATATTTTTCTAGTATTTATAGAAGTGGTGTTTTTAATATAATATAGTTTATTTGCAAATAAAATGAAATGAAATGTGGTTTAACGTCCCACTGTTTTGCTCCTATATTGGGCTAATGAAGACGGGCATACGCCATACAGTGTGCTATGAGGGAAATTTTGCCCGGGCAGCGGCACTATCGCCTACTCTTATATCGATTTCCAACTGCCAGGGGATCTTTTTCGTGCATTCCAATATATACACGGGGCCTCGGTTTTTCGTCTCATCCGAAGGACTAGACAGCTGTCCTTGTCAGGCCCTCCGTTCTGCACCACTGACAAGGGGAAACCGCGTCGGAAAATCTGGATGAACTTTCTCGGTCAATTTGATTTTAATACATAGTTATATACATATATACATGCTACCTTAGGATTATAAGTCCACATCGTTACATATTAAGTGAATATTAATAGTGATAAACAACTGGAGAATTACAATAATAGCTACAGAGTACATGTGAATCTTTTAGTTTCTTTAAAAAGTGGTGGTAACATGAATACCCGATAAAATAAAAACACGCCCGTTCTCCTATCACGTGCAATCCAGGAGTGGAATACATGGCTTGCATTGATAACCGACTTTCTCATCTACAGCACACGCTTTAGATATCTTGGCCATCCGACCCCGTACTAAAACAGGTGTCTACTTCAATTTATGCCTCCATCCAGTTTCTTGTATTTAAAAGAAAATAAATATCTTCATTGTGCTTTATGGCATGACCCATCGTTTGAGCATCCATCTAAGTGAAAATTGGCCGAGACCAAATCCCAGTGACAAAAAAAAAACACGTATGTATGCCTATGCATATAGTCCTACGTCATATAATTAC